CAGCTGCAGGCCCGTTTACGAGATGCGAGGGGTACTAGGGTTTCCAGACAAACCATTCGCAACCGACTCCACCGCTTTGGCTTGAATGCCAGACGACCGTTGCAGGTGACTTTGCTTTGTTGGAGGAGGTGCAACAGTCTGGGCAGGCATCACCAGTCAGTGCAAAACAGATTTGGTTATTGTACATGGCTCAGTCACTGCACTTTCTTACCTCAGAGACTTCATAGAACCCATCATCATCTCCCAATTCCGCCAGCACACCCCAAACTTTCTGTTCATGGATGATAATGCTCCACCACATCGTGGCAGAATTGTCACAGCTCGACTTCAGGAGGTTGTCGTGCCTCATATGGTATGGCCATCAATGTCCCCTGACCTGAACCCCATAGAGCACGTCTGGGACCAGTTGAAGCAGAGGCTGGATGATCGTACCCCACCCCCACGTGACCCGGCAGAACTGCGTGTAGCACTTGTGGAAGAGTGGAATGCATTACCTCAGAACAACATCATGAGGCTACTGAGGAGCATGAGACGTCGTTGTCAAGCTGTCATTGCGGCAAATGGTGGAAACACCCGCTACTGACATTGTCAATTGTTGTTATTTGGGGCTGTCCCTGTTATTGTCTACATTTTTGGGGTAATAAATATTAAACTAATGAAAATGGTGTTTCTTCTCATACATTATTAGTAATATCAATGGTAACTTTTACTTATTTCATTAAAATTCAGAGCAAATAGGAAAAGCACTCATGTAAATAACAATATCCCTAACTTATTGTGAGTAGTTTATAAGCAGGGAAGTAGTAGCATAAGTAGAAAATGATTACTGGGAAAGGGCTTGGCCCCAACCAATTCAGCCAGTAAATTGGGACTGGCAGGGAAGAGGCTTTCCTGATGCATCATGCTGTCAGTCTTACAACTCGGGATTCCCCAAGGGCATGGTTGTAGAGACATGTGACATGTTCTCTGGACCGGTCCAGGACTGCCCTTTTTTGCAGCTATAACAGTTGCCACTCATTTACGAAGGCTTTCCACAAGATTTTGGAGTGTCTGTGGGAATTTTTGCCCATTCATCCAGAAGAACATTTGTGAGGTCAGGTACTGATGTTAGACGTGAAGGCCTGGCTCGTAATCTCCATTTTAGTTCATCCCAAAGGTGTCTGATGGGGTTGAGGCCAGGGCTCCCCCAGGAAGGCATGATACTCGATTCTCTGGGTTTCCTTGTAACCTGTTGCTTCCCACCACTACCTGCCGACATCTTGCAGAGGCAATCGCCACGCCCCTCACATTCCACTTCGCACACCAGTGTCGAGACTCATCGACAATCCATATTGTCACCACAAAACAGACTGGCACAGTTCAGGTTTCAAACACAAGATAGCATTTATTACACCCGTACCACGCACAATGGCAATACACTCACACTGCCCATCATGCCCTTTGTCCCCTTTACTCCTAATAAGCATGGTGGGTGCACACACAGACACACACACACATACATGACACTACAATGCATGTCGACTACAGGGAACTATTTACACAGCAGGCTCCAGTCCAACCTGTCATGCTACTTGACAGTACTTCCAGCACTACAATATACAATGGTACCTCAGAACTCAAACTTAATCCGTTCGAGTTCTGATCGAATTCTCCCCATAAGGAATCATTGAAAACCAATTAATTGATTCCCGGCCCCAAACAATTATACCTAAATATGTTTTTTTTAGCATTTAAACACAAAATGAACAGCATAAAACAAGAACAACATATACTGTACTAAACACATTTAAGTACATTTATCAAAACAGTAATTTGTAAAGTAAGAAAATAAATGTATCCAAACAATGTGTAAAGTTAAAAATAATAATAATAATAATAATGTGTCCTGTCACGATCGTCCGCTCCTTCCGTGTGCCAGCTGTTTCTGGTTGTTGTCATTCGTCCTATGTATTTAGTCCGCCTTTCATGCCTTGTCCACACGTACACGGGTATATTTTAAAACGTACCTTTTTCTGTACGTCAAGGGCTTTTTTTAGAAGACAATGTTCGTGTGGACGGGGATTTTAAACGGAGGAAAAATACAAACGTTTTTTAGAATTAGAATTAGAATTAGAAGCTTTATTTGTCATTGCATAAAATACGTAGTATTAAACACAACGAAATTTAGAGTTGCCACTCTTAGTCAGTGTTTTAAAACCAATATAGTTAAGAATTAACAAATCTGCCCCAAGGCAGCCTACCCACACTCACTCATACACTCCCCCCAAACCTATTCACTCC